CCAGCAGCTCCAGGCTCCGCCTGGGCACGCGGAAGCACAGGCAGGGGAAGTCAGCCACAATCCCACGGGTCTGGGAAGCCAGCCGGGCCTCGGGCCTCCCTCCCACATCCGCCACCAGCCAGATGCTGTCACTGGCCGGCTGTCACCACGCCCAGCCCTCGCCGGCACACGCCAGCACGCCCGGACCCATTTCCCTCCCTGGTTTTATAACCAGACACAGATGGGTCCATCTCTGCTGCTCCCACTTATTTTATGAGTTAAATTTACCGATTGCAGTCACCTTCATCCACTCTTCACCCTCAGCACCCCCAGCAGCCAGGCAGGCACCAATGCCCCGCAGTTCATCCCTGATACCCTGCAGGACTTGGATGGGAGCCTGAGGGAAATGGGCTCCTGGTACTGTTCCCAAGGAATCTAGGGGGGTCTTAAGGGGATTTGTGCCCACCCAACTCCGTGGCAGGCTGTTCGTGGTGCGGGGCTGCCTGGAGGACACGTCCCCCATCTCTTCCATGCCTGGGGATGATGTGGTTAACCTTCGAGGTGGACACCAAACCTTGCGCTCACCAGTGCGACACCACCGTGGCTGAGCTGGCAGCCCAGCATGGCGTGGAGGTGACTCCCACGCCCGCCATGACACCAAGAGGTGGGTGCCTGGCTCCATCCCTCAGGGTACAGGCGATCCAGCCCCAGTGCCGAGTGTCCCTCCCCAGAGTCCTCACCCTGAACCACAGCAAAGCTCCCCTGACCTACATGGGGTAGACCACACACCCAGAGGGAGGTATTTCCCTCGGGGGATAAGCCCCAAGTCCTTTGACTCCCCCAAAAAACACCCCCTTAACCTCAGCACCCCACACTGGGGCCAGATGGGCTACCCCTTCATCAACACCATCACGACCCAGCTGGGGTCTCCCAGGAAGAAGGGCTGAGGGTTGGGAAATGCCCCCCAACACCCACTGGGCTCTTGGGCACCCCATCCCCACACCACCACAGTGTCCCACAGGTCTTTGAGGACACGGACTGGTCCCTCCACACCAGCAACTGGTTGTGGCTGTCAGGCAGCACCTTCTTCCATCAACACTTCAACATCTACTCGCCCATCGCCTTTGGCAAGAAGATGGATCAGGACAGGGCATACGTCCAGTAGGCAGGAAACCCAAAGCCACATGAAACAGCGGGTGGTCTCCCCCCGTGGCTTTGAACCCTCGCCACAGGAAATCCTTCCCCGTCCTCAAGGACTTCTCCACTGAGTACATCTATGAGCCCTGGAAGGTGCTGCGGGCTGTGCAGGCTGCCTGGTGAGCACCCACTAGTCCCGGCCCATCGTGGGGCACAGGGCAGTGAGCGAGAAGAACCCGGGGTGCATGAAGGTAGCCCTCACCCAGAGAGGTAACGAATCCCCCAAGGGGCACTGAGCTCCCCCCACGCCCTACTGCCAGCCCCGCTGCGTTCCTCTCCTCCAGGCACCAAGCAGGAGCCACCAGCCAGCCCCTCCATGGCCAAACCCTGAAGGAAGAAGCCCAAGACTAAACAGTGCTGAGCCCCACAGGGACACCAAGGCAGCTGCCAGCCAGGGTCAGGCATCACTTGTCCTATTCTGCTCAACCACTTCCCTTACTTAATCCTTTTCCCTCTCCTGCCCTGGGACCGACAACTTTGCTGCTACCACCACCCTAAAAATCAACTCCTCACCCAGGGATGTGCCCTGAAGGAGGGCAAGGCACCCACATGAGTCAGCCCCACCTGGAAACCCCAGAGCTGCCAGACAGTGCCCCAGCGGCAAATTCAGCCCTGCAAATCCAAGGGGCAACACCCCGCTGCATCAAGCTCCACCCCTGCCTCAGCTATAATATAATCATTATTAAAGGAAGCAGGGGAATTAAGAAAGCGCAGCTTGATTCGCAACACGCCTGACCCACCAGCAGCAGCACCACACTGGAATCCCTGGGCAGCA